GCAGCGGACGAGAAAATGAAAAAAATATGGGAACGCCCTCCCCTTGATGGAATTCTTGCCAATATGTATCAAGGTTCTCGGCCCGATGGACCCCAATACCCTTAAATTTCTTAAGGCAATATGTAAAATGATCAGCGTCAGATCAGGCGACAGCAAGGAACTGTTTTTCGCAACTAACCACATTTCGTGCAGTGGTTCCTGCGTGTCTGTGTGCTTGAAAATATCCAACTGAATGCCGACATGTGCAATTAACGACAAATCAAAGTGTTAATCCATTTGTTACTTGATGTTTGACGGCTCAGTGTCACTCATCATGTTTTGGTTTTAACATACATATATACATACATACATACATACATACATACATACATACATACATACATACATACATACATACATACATACATACATACATACATACATACATACATACATACATACATACATACATACATACATACATACATACATACATACATACATACATACATACATACATACATACATACATACATACATACATTGTCGGCTCTTCTCCAAGGCTTCAATCCCGGTTCTCAAGGAACCATCCGGCATTTCTGCGCATGATGGTTGGCGCCCGGACGGATGCACACTAATACCTTGGAGAGCCGGCAGATGTTTGGCGTGGGATCAAAGTGTTAATCCATTTGTTACTTGATGTTTGACGGTTCAGTGTCACTCATCATGTTTTGGTTTTAACATACATACATACATACATTTTGTTGATTTGTTTTTACCGTTTTTAACGTTTTTCATAAATTTGTGTTTAAGTTCTGGCTCATTTCCATCAGTGTTTAATAATGCTGTTGTTACACCGATTTTGAAAAAGAATTCTCTTGATAGACATGAGTTAAAAAATTACCGACCTGTATCTAACCTGATGTTTTTGTCAAAGTTGGTTGAAAGAATCGTTTTATCATAATTTGCTTCTCATTTGAAAATTCATAATCTTCTGCCGGTTCACTAGTCGGGTTATCGTGTGTTTCACTCGACGGAAACAGCTTTAATTGATGTTTCGTCAAGGTTGTATTTATCAATGGACGAACAAAATGTGTCATTGCTTGCTCTCTTGGATATGAGCTCGGCGTTCGATTGCGTCGATCATGCAATACTTCTCAAAAAACTGAAGCAAACATTTGGACTATCGGGAAGCGTTCACAAGGGGTTCGTGTCGTACCTTGCTGGTCGTACTCAACAAATTTTATTCAAAACAAATTTGGCAGCTGTCGATGCTTTGTCACATGGTGTACCACAGGGTTCCGTCTTAGGTCCCATTCTCTTTTTGCTCTATACAGCGGATGTCTACACAATAATTGAGTCGTACAATTTCAGGTTTCATGCATTTGCTGACGACATCCAAATAATAGCCAACTCCTCTCCCTCGTCGTTTGGTGATGTGGTCGATGATTTAGTATCGTGTTTATCAGCCATTGATGTTTGGATGATGGGGCACAGATTAAAGTTGAACCAATGCAAGACCCAGTTTTTGCCTGTGGGTACATGGCGACAAGTGAATAGAGTGGGTATCAACACTATCAGAATAAAGGAATCTGTCATTGAATTTTGTGCGTCAGCACGAAATCTTGGATTTATTTTTGATACAAACATGACAATGCAATTGCACATAAAGTTGTTGTTGAAAGAATGTACTTACCAATTGAGAAAATTGAGACTCATCAAAGGATCTCTAAATAGCATACATTGCAATGTTTAATTCACTCGTTCATTCACTCGAGGATCGATTATTGCAACAGTTTATTCTACGGTTTACCCAAAAAGTATGTTGCACAGTTACAATTAATTCAAAATCGGGCTGCCAAGTTGTTAACTGGTGGTTCATATTTTGATCATGTTACTCCTATTCTCTTCAATCTTCATTTGTTGCCCGT